AATACTTTATCTTAGGCATGATATCTGGTTTATGTTCAAATTTTATTGTCACTATATAATGTTTTGATATTCATGAAAAAAACCTGGCTACTAACCTAAAAACCTAATAGAAATACTTTATAACGCAGGGGAAGAAATTCCGTACCATAGGGGCAGAAATGAAAACAGTGTGATTGCCCATTTCTTTCATTTATAAGTATGAAGCTCTAGAATGGTAGGAAAGCAACATTTAGTTTCATTCATAAAGATATGCTAACAAATTCCTTTTTATTTGCTTACATACCTTCATGATGACTCATTTGAACTCCTGAAAGTCGAACTTTCGGGCACCTGCTTTCAATGAGGACTTTTTAAGGCTGAGCAGCTTGAAAGATTCTACATTAACGTTGCTTATAATAATGCGGCTATGTAATAAGTGTTTTAGATATGAAAGCAAGCTATCATTGGCCATATGCTTTTAATAGTCAGACTACCCAAACCAGTCGAGTATAGCTAGGATTATGTTAACGCGGTAAACGATTAAGGACTCTAAAAGTAAACGATTTTTACTTTGCCTGTTTTGGGGCAAGCCTTATATTCTCCCAGCAAACATATAGCTTATGACTGATTACTTTTCAGTGAGTGGTTCGTTTGCGATTCACAGGTTTTTACGTGTAATTTGGCGGGATAATGGACTGATCAATTAGAGTTGAGTAAAAAAGAATTGATGATCGAAGTCAAACAAAAGGAGCTTAATCAGGTGGTTTTACATAGATACGAATAGATTTAAAACGCAAATGACGCTTTGCCGTAAATATTTACGAGATGCTGACCATTTAAAGTTCAGCTGCCAATCAAATGGGTTGTTCACTCAACTTTTTGTTCAACGGTTTTTACTGCATCCGGGAGATCTTTTAAACGGCGACGTTTTCCAAGCGTTAGATGCCAAAAAGTTGTATTGCTTGGTGTCCAGACCATCCTTTTTGTACATCCGTTGTGGGTAATCGTTTTCAGAATCCATTTATCTATTCTTATCAGTCTGCAGCAAACTAAACATCAGGCCCAAGGCTAGAGAGGGCCAAGGAGACCCTGCTCTCCGAATTATGAGCACAGCCTTCGAGATTAGGTTGTGCGGCCTTGATAATGCTTTAGCTCGGGTTGAGTGCTTGTTTTCTGCCCTAACAAGAATAGATTCACCTCAGTAAAAAAGAGCGTTGATGCATTTAACGTTGGTCAATTTTGTAGATTTGCTGAAGTTGAAATCAAGAAAATTATCCTACCTTTAACAATTAACGAAGTTAACCATTAATCTACAATATTTCTTTGCAATGCATGATATAACGATGCAAATTACATTCACACTAGAATGCTAGATCAATGATATTACATGTATCTGAGTGAGGTTTATGTACTTTTCGGTTGGTGTACGTTCTTTTTCCTTAGATGTCTAAAATATGTGATGTGCAAGACTGTAGAAAGACAGAACCTTTACATGCAATCAAAAAAGCACAAATTTACTAGGATGCAACTAGATCTACGTTGAGAAATATACCTACAGAAACCAAGTTTTGAATTAGGCCTACAGAGACCTATTTACACAAACATACAGACTTTTCAACAACAGTCAGGTAAAACATTTAATTCCTACCAAAGTTTAATGTCACTATTTTCTTCATTATTGCCATATCAATTTTTAATTGTAACAATGCTGCTAAAATCTTCATGATATATTAACATTAACAGCTTTATAAATTTGCTTGGGATAACAAAATTGGCCTAATCACATTGCGCAGGCTTATTTTACTTATTTATCATTTTTTTAAGTTCTAACTTGACGATGTTAAAAAATATCATTTCTCCAATAAAATGTTCTCGTTGATAAAATATATATAAGCTATTTCCTCTGATGATGAAAAAAAAGCCTTGCAAGACTTTATAACATGAAGAGATCAAATATTAAAATTAGCTCGACTCTTTACATAAATTCACTTAACCAGATTTTTTTCCAGTTCTAAATAAGGGTAGTTTTGAAGGAAGGCAAGATCTAAGCATTTCAGTAGTATCTGGTTTTTATCTTTTTGTTTTAGGAGATGCATCAAATTTCAAATTTGAATGGATCTCTTTAATGCATCGGTGATGTTTCGATGAAGATTTTATTTCAAATTTCGTCTTCAACAGCTAACTGTACAATGATCATAATTCTTTAGAAATATTACTATAGAAAATTTTTTCAAGTATCCATGCAGCCTATGGTTGCAAATAACCCACATGAAGGGCTGATTCACAAAAAGGGATTTTTTTGACTCCAATCGTTTACTACCAATGAACTATAAGCAATTTGATTATCAGACAATACGCAATAGAACTTTTTAAAACCTTACAGTGGTTAATCTTGAAAGGTAATTGAAAAGATTATTTAGCTGCCACAGCAATGAAACTTCATCATTTTATTGAAAAAATGTATAGAGAATAGAGAAATTATATTACTTAGACATATTTTTTATAGAGAAATAGAGGTATACTTTTTATACTAAAAGCAGTGGCACTAAACAATCAAGAATAAATTGAAAGATGAGCTTCTAACGTAACAATTTTTTTCTATTGTCATCGTGTTGTTTGCTGAAAAAGTTTGTGATTATTTTTTACATTCATTTATATAAAATTTGGTAGAAAAATATTTCGTTTTTAAAACTTTGGTGTTCTACAATGTTGAATTTAACTTGTAAATGATTATATGGAAAATGTAATTTTTCGACCCAACTTTGCAACGTAATAGACAAAGAACTGCAAAGCTTATATTTGAAAAAAAGATTTTCTGTTCATGGGCTGTTATAGCTTAACTGAAATTGCTAATATGTTTGATCACTAAATTTTTCTATATCTAATCAATGATTTTGCAAATGCTCAATATTTAGTTTGATACAGCTTGAAAACTTTAATAAAGAATAGGTCCTCAAAAAGCATTGCAGTTTTAAGTTAGCAAACTAGTACAAAAGGCTTTCTATGTGTGCTGGGTATGCTCAAAATTTGATTAGCTCTTGACGAAAAATAGAGATTTTCAAAAACAAAAATCGATATTTTTAATTTTCACTTATAATAAAAAGCATTTTGAAGTTGTAGCGTTCTTCAAGGTAGGGAATGGCTTGTGGTAATAATCCAGTTTCTTTAGAAAGAATCTGAATTCAAAACTCACTTTTTATGCACTTAGCGTAGAAATAACAATTTTCCTGGAGAATGATTGGTCTAGCTTATAACAGCCAGGCTACACAAAGCTGCCACAAGTTTGGTCTTTTCTAAACTTTTCTATAGTGAGTTTTCACAGAGCCTCGTTTCAGCTGGTTGGATTTGTTTGCTTTTACTGTTTTGTTTTTCAGTTTTGTTTTTATCGGCTGATGTTACATTTTTTGGCCATCAGCTTGAATTTGTGAATAAAAAACTTTGGGATGTTCTAAACAATATTTTTGAATTATTTTCGTAATCACAATTGATTCAATGCACTGGTGTTATTTCGTGTTTTGATGTTCTTTTTATGTCGACGTCCTAGCTTATATGAACGATAACAAGTTGTGTATTCTGATTTTCAGCCAAAGATAAATATTTTCCTACTCAACTTTAAACAGTTCCCTTTACGGACAAAAATGCCGTCAATGAAAACAGTTTCTTATGTCTTTTCTCACAGAAGGATTGTCGATCCTACCTAATTGTCCCTTAATCTAGATGAATTGCACAGAAGACAATACGCAATGTAAACTCTTTGCTTTGCGATGTGATAAGCTAAAAATGTCCACACACATACGGATTCGTTGTCTTTGCTTGAAAAAAGGACGGCCTTTTTTTCTGAAAATGTTTCAAATGACCTGCTTCCACGTGGAAAATGCGAGCAATGATCATTTTTTGAATTTTTCAATACTTATGACAAGCTGAGGCTTGAACCTATACAAAAATGTAATGTAATTTTGCGTCAATGTTCCTACGAGCCAATCTTTTTAGCATCAACCAATTACAATTTTAAAACTTTGCTTTGGTCACAACAACTGTTGCGAGTGAGAGGTTTTAGATTTGCGTTTAGTTGTTGTGGTGAGGAGCAAAATCTTGAATGAAGCACCGGTAATATATGCAGCTACCATGGAGAAATCAACAAAACTAGCCCGTAGCCTATGCATTTAAGTCAGAGCAGTAGGAATTAGGAGCGTGCGGTTATGCAAAGACATTCAATGAAAAAGCAGAGAATAATGACTTAAGGTTCGCTTTAATTGGATAGGAATCAAGTCTGCCATCGATCAGAGCTCAGAGTTTTGTTTAAAACACAATCAAATCGAGTTTGTTTTCAAATATCCTCATAGATTATCCACCTAAGCTTAGAATCACACTGTCTTACGTTATAAAGAGAGCGAAGTCTATCTGTGAAATAAGCCTTGTGCTTTTATATTTAGTCTGCTAATGATTGACTAAAACCGAACGATACGTCTTACAAGAGAACTGACTTACGCTTAATAGAATCATTAATATCTATGTAATCGCACATTAATTCATTAACCATCGTTTGCCCTGTTTCTTTTCTGCATTCACTTCCAACTTAATGCAATGTGCGGCTATTCAAATTATTATTTTATCCCAGGGCTTAAGGATCGGGAAAGCCTTGTTAATTAGCGGAATTAACAGCAATGGATAAGCGAAGTCAAAATTATTCCCAGCTATCACAAATTAAAGTATTCCCACGGTACCCTGATTTTTAAGTAAATTTTGTAGAATTGAATTGAGAAGTTAATTGCTTGCTATCATTCCGCAAAGACATTATTTGTGCGACCCATCATACTGCTTTACCTCTCTTATCACATGCTATTTTGTGAACTCACTCTCTCTTAATTAGCACAATTAAATATTCATATAAAATATTACATTCGCATGTATTTTGGTCAAAGGCCTGACAGACAAGCGTATTGTTCTATTGCGAGCCTCGTTCTGTGCGCTGATTGGCTAAACGCACGCGTTCAGAGACATCAGCGCAATATAACAACGACCTTAAAAGAGTACCGATGTGCAAGGAATACCTCAAACAGTGGCTAGCGTCCTCGCTCATAAGTAGCACCGGCGGAGCCTCGTGTGTTATGGCGGATAACTATTCCAACACATCGCTTAGAGGAGTCAATCAAGAAGAGCGCGTCCGGGCAAGTGGATTCTCGCAAAGACCTAGCATTTTGCACGAATTTGAGAACTCAGTCTCTGAAACGGACACTATGATTACAATATTAAATAGAGGTAATTCATGATAATCATTTTATTATCAGTTATCAAACCTTTGCTACCATTAATCATTTGCAAATAGAATATTTCTCACCATGACAAATCACTTAGCAAGAGCTTTATTCATTGCCCTGAATAACAGAAATCGTATCTCCAATTTGAAATTAACATATAACTAAGTTAATTATGGCTTTCACATTTCTACCTGAAAGGATTTATCGTGCTTGCTCTGATTAAACTTGCTTGTAATTTCTCCAGCAAAATTATGATTGATTCCGGGTTCAACAAGTTAATCATCTAATATTATTTTATGAATTGCTTCAGTTTAAATTGATAAGAGTCAATTGTGGATTACTAGAAAGACGAGCCCTGGCTGCTGGCACACAATGTGATACGCAGACAATTTTTCTCGTGCACTTTTCTCTGCTTAACTTCAAGCGACTGAGTAACCAGATTTACATTCTCTCCAACAGCAGACGAAGATCAGAGGGATTTATTTACATCAAACAGCAAAATAGGGCTGATGTCGTCCAAAGATGTCGACGAGTCTGAGAGGAACGAAACGAGCGAAGGCGAGAACCCTCTATCTCCCACCAAAACCATGGATGATTCTTTAGATGGTGATGACAAAATATCAAAACAGAAACGACACAGGACAAGATTCACGCCAGCTCAGCTAAATGAACTTGAAAGATATTTCACGAAAACACATTACCCTGATATTTTTATGAGAGAAGAATTAGCCATGAGGATTGGATTGACCGAGTCAAGAGTCCAGGTAAGTTTACCAAAAAGCAAAATCGTATCTAATCAGTTTCCAATAAAAATATCTAATCGCTTATGACTGAAATAATGTTTTTGGTCCAAGATATAGATGGTGCGTGGTCTGGAGCATGAAACACTAGGCCCTAAATTTCATAGTTTACAGTTAACTTGGGCACAAACAATGCTTGGAAAATATAACAGTTGCATTATGTTTACTTGGCATATAAACGCCAGTAAGCGATTACCAACTTAGAAGGCTCTTACAGTTTTCAGCATTCATATAAGAAAAATAATTGAATGATAACAAAGCCTGACCATGCCAAATACTCGTGCGAGAATAGCTACAACAGAGCTTTGACTGGCCTATACCTAAAATCTACCTGCTTGGCATAATTCACTGTCCATTGGCACACAAACTAACAAAACTATTAAATTCCTAGTCTTACAGGAGCTGAAATTGTTTAGAACTCGCGCTTAAGAAAGTATATTTGCAGAAGAATTATTGTTGATAAAAACAATATGGTTCTCTATTTTCCAGCCGTTGTCAATCTTTTGTTTATACAAAACAGACAATATAGTTGTTTGAGGATTTCATTTCACCCGAGATCCCAATCACAAACACTTAACTAGCTCAAAGTAAATTATACCTGAGAGCACTTCGCTCTCTTGCTGGTTTAATTGAGCTCTAAATCTCTCTCCAAGTCAGCGGCAAACGCAATTCAATGCAACGAAATACTAAACATACGAATGCGTTTCGGCTCATCCTATGCACTTTTCGTCTTTCTCTCTCTCAGATTTAGGAGAAACGAAGGTTTTTCCTCTCTTCTATGTTCTTAAGAGGGTTGGATCATCTCTAATCTGTAATGAAACAAAACTTGAATCATCTCTAAATGCATAATCGTAAGGTAGTGATCAATAAGCTTAGCCCTTTTTAACCCTTTAACTGAATATTTGCTCTGATTTAGCCAGAATATTTACTCCAAGCACATTCAGAAGCTACCGGGCTCACCCGCTTTTTATTCACAATTTTATTCAGCCAATTGCATTTTTGCATATCTCTCTAGTTTGTGATCAAGCCATACCTAAAAATCAAAAACAAGCACAAACAGTTGTGACAAAAACTAATAACCGTTTCTAGCAATATAATTGTTAAAAACAGAAATATCTAAGAGATAAAAGAAAAACTAAAAGCCTAAAAGGTTTTCCACTATAATTGAGTTTAGCCAACTTATACCTTGGACAACTAATACTAGTTAAACTAAAGCTAGTTTTTTATGTGAAGTGAAAACATTAGCAGTGTCTACTAGTAGATGGTTAAAAGGTTTTATTGACTGTTTCTGAAGGAACTGATGATAGTATTCTTATAAACTGTGTTATAAAACATTCGGATAGCATTAATCTTACAGTTTCATGTTATGCTATCAAAGTAGTCAACTTGCAAACATGCTTCAACATTCTGGGAGTCTTTCAGCTCTAGTTAGTGTATTATGAAATATCTTAAATTAAAATATCATGCAACTAAGTATTGGCAGGCAAATTTATCCTCATGATTAACATAATAAGTTTAAAAAAAATCGGTAAAATATTTTGCAGTCTACAAGATTTCTCAAAATATGTACATCAAGGAATATTTCATAACCTTTAATAGTCACAATTAACAGCTGAATACATTCTACATGAATCACGAATATTATCTTTATGATACTCAATGTTAGGTTTATTTTGGTGTCATACATCAATTTAGGTTGCGTAAGGCAAATATTGTTGAGCACCTAATACACACTATCATTTTGTAAATAAAAATGAATTATCAGTTGGTAGAGAATCCTTATTTGCTCACAAGCAATTAAGGTCAAGTATCCCTATGTTTGTTTTGATCACCTCTTATGATTTACTTATAATTCATAGATGATTTGTCATTTCAATTCCTTTGCTTTTTCCCAAAGACTTGCAAAAAAATACTTAAATTACAAACATAAAATGTTCATCAGGCTTTAGGAATAGAGCTAATGCTAAAAAGATCATAAATTGTTGCAATGAATCTTTGAGATATCTTTTTGTATGTTTTCAAATAAGCTGTGCATGAATCTTTTTATGTTCAATAGAAAACATTTCAATCAAAAGACGTTAAAAAACTACATAGGTAGCCATGAATATGCTCTTTATGTCTCCTAAACTCTCCAAAAAGAATTCAGGAATGTATGTCAGAATTGATTACAACTCCTGTTTATAAATCATATCTCTAACGTTAAAAGCATTGAATCAAAGAATTATAGCTTTAAAATAGCAGAACATGCAGCACCGATATTCTTTTTGACTTAAAAGCCAGGCAGAGGTTCAATAAAGCTCTTTCGTCTATAATATAGTTATACTAAACGTCGTCCTAATCAAACATGATATGAAATGGCAACCTTGTGTGAGCATTTTGATAACAGATGCTACATGGGTGTGGCGCACATAACATGAGCGCCAAGTTAAACTGTATGGCATGAACCTTTATCCCTATGCCCACTGACCTTTTCTTTAGGTTCTGTAACGATCTAATTAGAGCGTGCAGAACGAATACAGGCAAGCATTTATCGAAATGGCGTATTTTTAAGCTAGCCTAGGAACATTTTAAGAGTCTTTTATAAAAAGACAGAAAAACTTTCAAAGAAAAGTACTTGGATCCATAGATCTGAACTGAGCATGGTCAGGTGCTTGCGATATTGAAATGAATCAAAAGAATGCAGGTTCGACGCAGGATGGTTTAGGATATCTCGAGGCATTAGCTTGAAGCAAGGAAATATTGCGAAATATTAGAATTAGTTCAATTGTTCAATAATCCTATGAAGTCATTTTTAGAGGCGAGATTTGAAACGCTTACTTCCTACGGCAAGAAAAATGGGGCTATGAAATAGTACACAATGGAAGCAAATAGCAATTTGTCGTTGTTTAATGTGCATATGTCGGCCAGTTTGACAGTAACTGGTGTCCCCTTTTAACATCGAGGCGGTGATGTTTTATTGAGGTCTTTGTGATTTATATAGCTCAGCGAAAATGATAAATAACTTTTGCCTAGATGATTAGAATGTCAATAACGCAAAAGAATCACGACTAGCTTTTGAGTGTTTTCCCATTCTATATACCTATTTAGCGTTTTAAAGGTGTCTGATTGGTTTTTAAAAGAATTTTACTGCTAACTAGAAAATTGGTTCATATAACAGACTAAAATCTAAAAATGATTCATAAGTGCCTTTGATGATATAGCTTGTGATAACTTTAACTTCAGCAGGACAAGCAGATTTGAAAAATGTCTTTTAAAGAAAGTTGTTTATCTTGTTGAGTTATTTTCGTTTGCTAATTTATTAACAGAAACTGGACTTTAGCTAGGAATGTCTAAGTTGTTTGTTTAGAATGTGCGATTTTCATTAAAAAACAAGAAAAGTGATTGTTTGTTGATGGGAAAGCTTCATACTCAATAAGGTTTTCTGTTTTAATATTGCATTTTAATAAACAGACGCAGTTTCTTCTTTTGTCACGTGTTTAATGATAGGAAATGAAAGATAAATAAATGTGGTTAACTTCAAATATGAAATCTAGACAATTTCGGAAAAGTTCTTAATTGACGGATATAGGTAATGACAATTTTTTTGAAAGGAAAAGTTCTAGATCGAAGCCTACTTGAGAATAACAACTTGAGGACCCGAGTTTTGTTAAATTAGCGTAAAAAAACAGAGATAAAGTTTTCCATACAAGGATATTTGATTAGGATAAAAAATGTTCTTAAGAAGACCGATGTAAGGTTATAAGGGCATAAACCCGATGTTTAAAATCTTTTTGGGGACCATTTCTTTGGAATTGCAGGAATGACAGGAACAATTATTTAACATTGAAAAATATGATTATGTGTTATTTTCTTTCCTGATATTAAATCTATTAGCTAGAAGTTAAAATAAAATTCATTCTCAAGATTTGCACTTAAGACTTGAATCATACCGAAAACAGACTCAAGCTAGGTAGAGATGTATAAAGCATATGAAACTCGCTAGTTTTATTTTTAATGGATTCTATATAAAATATTATCATACTGCAGAGCTAGAAACGCTTTAAATGCATTAGTTTAAGATTTTCAACCAAATTTGTGCACTATACTTCAATTTGTGCAAATAAAAGTTGAAGTTTCGTTTTCCTTTAGCATAATTCTTCATTATATTGCTGTTTCAAAATATTCTACAAATTTGCTTACAAGTCATCTTTTCTTGATTGTAACTAAAATTGTTTGAAACTTGAATGGTTTTGTACCATATGCTGCAATCAAAAAGTACCATATGCTTTAATCAGTGACAATTGGTAGTATGTTATATTACTTTGATACATTAAAAAATCAAAATGCCAGTAAACAAAATTTCAAAAGTTTGAAATGCTTTGAAGTTGTTTCTTCAATGATTGATATGTAATACTTTAATATAAACCCTTTGCCTGAGCTAGCGTTCTCTTTAAGCTTTGTTGCAAACCCAAAAGGAAGTATTTTGGCTAAGATTACGGCCATTGAATGCATTTGTTGAAAGATATATTTTACCTTAAAATGTAAAAATCAACAATTTTAGTTTTTATTTCATTTTCCATGGAGTAATCAGTTCTCATAATTTATAGCTTACTTAGCTTATACCAATCAATAAACCCTTGGAAACTTAAAGCAAATAAGATCTGCCTCGATATATTTATTCTTTTTTCATTATCCTACGATAATTAACTTTTTTTATAAAAATAACTAACCATTATTCAGACCACATCAGATCTTCTTACGTTTGACGTCAAAGCCATTGTCATTTCTGTTAGCCTAGTTTTAAGCAAAAACATTAATTGCAATTTAAGCTTATGAACATTTTTCTAAAAACTTTTCTAATTTTCTAACGGTTTAGCTTTTATCAACCAATATTGGGTACATTTTATCACAAATAAGTCCAAATTTATTTCTTAGACAATCGGGCTACAAAGTCTTTTTGTACCATCAGAAACAATTTCTTATGC